ACTTGCTTGGTTTCTAAGTAAGCTTTGTGAGGCATTTGGTCAGCTTCTTTAGGAAGGAATTCGCAAGGTTAAGTACCTGATCAGGAAGCACTTGGGGAACAATGCATCTTGGAATGCTCCAATCCACATAAGAAGTCTTCCTGGAGACATACAAGATGCATAAGCTTTATAGAGGGTAAAATGGATTTATTTGGGTTTTGACCCCATTGGGAGTTGGGCATCTGAGTGCTAAAGACAAGCACACTTCTGTGAGCTGTTTTCAGGTAAACCTGCAGCTTTGGGGCAAGTAATTCAGACCCTGGGTCTTTGTTGGAGCAGACGGGAGTGTCTGGCTCAGCAAGACAGGGTACTGGAGTCCTGAGCTGGCAGGGAAAACAGGAATAGGGGTAGTCTTGGCACATCAGTTGGCAGCTCCCAAGGGGGTTTCTGTGATCCAACCCGTCACAATCAGTATAACCCCTATGATACTAAATGTCCATGACTCACTTGATTGGATTACAGGCAAAGGCACCTCATAATAGCCCTGTCTCCTAATCTGAGACGCTCCAAACCCAATGGCATTCAAACTGGCCAGCTCTCCCTGCATTTACTGATGCTTCATGATTTAATCACATGAAAAATAAACTCCCCTTGCTTAGCTGCTAGGCCCCATCCCTTCTTCTTAAATAGAACCTCTTGCTGGATTAGGAGGCAGACCTCCCATTTCATCCCAGGGAACCTCTCCCAGTCTGGGGTAAAGCTAGAGGAAACTTGGCTTGCCTCTTCCCATGTTGTGCTTGTGCTGTGCCTAGTTTAAAAATATTATTCACCATTGTTCAATATTGATTTATTCGTATGTAAAGATGTGACTTAAATGTTGTGAGTCAAAGGATTCATCAGCATCTCTTCAGCGCACTGAAGATGGAAATCCCTACATGTTATATTTTCATTGTTTTAAACATGGGAAGATTTTAGAGGGCCAGGGGCTATAAGAGCAATTTGCAAGGCTTTGTTACAAAGATATGTATCATCATCAGCGGTATATTGATGCCTTACAATTATATAGCACTTCTCATCCCCAAGGCTCCCAGGGTCAGGCACCAAGGACTGGGGTGGGTGGGGAGCAGTGCATCAGGAAATTAACAAAAGGGGACAGGTTATACAGATGACAAGAATGGCTGGCTATAAAAGTTAAAGCAGACAAAGACTTCTGATAGAGATTAAAAACCTCACGTTTCAGGGTTTAAACTGATCTTCATAAAGGATTAGGGAGATCTTTCCCTGGGATTATCCTACATCTGCCACTGCAAGGTTTCTTACCCCTTCTTCTAGGGTCAGTTGGTGCTGGCCACTGTTGAAGATGGAAAACTGAGCTAGACAGCCCCTGAACTGAGATGGTAATTCCTATGTGCCTAGTCCCACTTATTTTCAATGTGCATGAAAATGCAGAAGAGGCTAGAATTGCCATAATAATATTAATTAATTTTCATAGTCCCAGCACGGTGCAAATTTAGATCCCCATCATGCCATCAGTTCCAGACAGGGTGGAATGCCTGGAAGGGCTGGTGCAAGTCAGAACTAGAAAGCCAGAGCAGTGTTTGCAAAGCACCATGTATAGTGCAGGAAAAGTCTTTCTCTCAAGAGCGCCCGGATAGCTCAGTCGGTAGAGCATCAGACTTTTAATCTGAGGGTCCAGGGTTCAAGTCCCTGTTCGGGCGCAGAAGCTTTTGCATCACGGGGCCGTTCAATACAGTGGAAGCAGCGTTACAAACTAGAAACCCAACGGTTTTAAAAGCCCGATGTCTTTTTAAAGAGCAGGCACCTATGTCAAATCCGTGCACGAGCCCGGCGACCCCAGTGCGGAGAGCGTCGGCCAAAGTGGGAGTCTAACAGGGTCGTGGGCTTTGCAGCGGCTGTTGCAGGAGAAACAACACAGGCGAAGGCAGAGAGGAAAAAAGAGACTGAAAAATAAACGAAAGGGGATTAAAAAAAAAAAACCAAAAACGCAGGATTCGCCCGAACAGGGACTTGAACCCTGGACCCTCAGATTAAAAGTCTGATGCTCTGCCGACTGAGCTATCCGGGCTCCTTAGTGAAGTGAGCCACTGGAAGAGGTAAAAGAGCTAAGCTGGAGGCGGGGCTGAGCAGCAAAGTAGCCACTGGTAGTGACTGGTCATGCATTATGCAAAGCGAGGGAGAGCTGCGCTACGAGAACGGGGGTTGAGCATCAACTGTGCAGGGGATGAGGGGCAGAACTCCCCCTAACCAAGCTTGTGCGGGAAGCCGAGCCCTGTTCCAGGACCAGGAGGGTCCTCACTGCATCAAAGAAAATGTCTTTGCAACCCTCTAGAGCCCGGAGCCCCTTTGCTCGTGAGCTGGCTGCATGTTGACTGGTAGCATATAGTGATCTCTGTATGCCAAGTGCATGGTCAGGAAAGATTTGTCATATTCGTAACAGATTTTAAGGCGAGGGTTTTGTGCAGAGAGAACAAGCTTGGTGTCCACAGAGGGTGGTGGCACATTTGGGGGCATTACTTTGCATGGGGTGATTGTAGGGGGCACAGATCCCTGCACACGCTGGGGTGCATTGCATTGGACAGTGGCCGGGGGGGGGGGGCACAGATCCCTGCACACGCTGAGGGTGCATTGCATTGCACAGTGACTGTGGGGGACACAGATCTCTGCACACACTGCGGTGCATTGCATTGCATTGCCCAGTGGCGGGGGGGGGGGGGGCACAGATCCCTGCACACGCTGGGGTGCATTGCACAGTGACTGTGGGGGGCAGAGATCCCTGCACACGCTGGGGTGCATTGCATTGCACAGTGGCTGTGGTGAGCACTGCTCTCTGCGCACACTGATGGTGCATTGCATTGCACAGTGACTGTGAGGACACAGATATCTGCACATACTGCAGGGCCGGGTTCACTGCTTACGTTGGGCCCAGTTTTGGTTGTAACTTCCCTTCCTCCAGTTCGGTCTCTGCCCCAGTGCCCTTGCCCCCTCACGGTCCTCCAGCAGCGGGGCGGCGCTGGGACACTCCCGCTCTTCCCTTTGCATCTCTATGGTAAGCGCCTCGCTGGCCGAGCTTCCCCGACGCCTCCTTTCTAGGCGTGGCTTCCGGTGTTCTCTATGGTCGCAGTCCATCCAGCAGGACTCTCCCCACGCAGTCCCTGCGGAAGTGGCCGCGCCGCCATGTTGGCTGGGAGGGGAAGTGGAGGCCTGGCCCCCCACTAAGATGGAGGAGAGGAGCCAACTGGGGGCCTAGGGCCCCCTCAGGCCGAAGGGCGAGCTGGGGCCCATGGAGCAGCGCTAGGGTGAGCCCGGGGACCTGCCTGGAGGGGCGGGGAGGCCCTGAGGCCTGGCTCCTGCTCCCAGCCTGCTGGCTTGGGTGTCAGAGGGCATAGCCTGGGGCGGGGGGGCAGCAGGGGTCATGGCATAAGGGCAGCAGCGGGGTGGGGGATGTGGAGGCAGCAGGGCAGGGGGCAGCAGGCAGTGGGGAGAGGGGGGATATCCGCCTGGGGGACAGGCCCTGCTGGGGGGATAGGTGCATGCAGGGGATGCAGGTCGTGGCAAGGCCAGGGGAGTGGGAGGCGGTGTAGCGGCTGGATTACCTGTCTGGCTGTCGAGACACCTCGCAGAGGGCACTGGCGGGACCCGAGCCTCGCACAGCTGCTGTTGCTATTTCAAAGTTTAAGTTGTGGGCTTTCGCTTTGATGTATTTCTGCTCAACATTGTGTGTGGGTGGGTGTGTTGAGGTGTGTGTCTACACCCATTAATGTAAAAGAAAATCTCCCTTCTGGCTGGAATCATCCTTGTTCCGATAGTGAGCACATTCACGTTTGGGCTGCTGTGGTCTTGCGTTAGACAGCTGTGGATGGCACCGTGCTGCTGTTTGACGTTTGTTTTGCAGTGATGATAAACTCAGTGCGACTTTGTAAAAATAGAGCCCTGGCAAGGACAGATGCAGTTGTGCCATTCAGAAATTAATGTGTGTTTCTGAACATTTTAATACTTATATGGTTAGTTTCATTTTTCAGTGATCAGTTTTAGGGAGTGCTGACAGTTGTCTGACGATGTATGGTTTGCTGTTAGATGATGTTTGCTATACCTGGTCCATCAATAAAAGGAGCACTTGGCAAGTGTTTCTGTGTTTACTGTTTTCTGTTTTTTCCCCCTTTTTTTCCTTTAAACTGTCACATGTCTAACAGCTACCTAAAGCATGACTTGGTACCTTTGACAGCCTTTGGAGGAACTGCTGATAGGAGCATGTTACTGCCTGATTAGGAGGGAAAATTAAGGCGGGGGCGCGCGCAGATCTGTACGTCATCGGATGCGCCGTAATTTTGACGTTGGATGCTGGCACGCCTGCCCAGAAATGAATGCTGGCAAAAGCCCATCTGTAGTTTAGGAACTAGCCATTCTGCTAAGTGCAACTTAAAAACAAGGAAGCATTTTAGGAAAGGATTAGTAAGGATTTAAAAAAAGAGGGACTGAAAAGCATGCCGTTTCGTAACTGTCTTGTTATAAAGTGTGTGTGTCTGTTTTTAAAGTGTGCTTTTTTGCTTCCTGGAGTTTTGTCTATATCTTCCAAAATGATCAACAGAAACAGTTACTGCCAACTTGGTGCCGAGTTTTTGAAAAGATGTTATGTTCAGCTGGCTTATTTAAAAGCTACATTGAAATGAGCTGTATTGCAAATGTCTGGCTAATTGTGACTTGGGTTGATGAAGCAGCTTCTAAATACATCCGATTGAATTTAACGGAAGAAAAATGTGAAGTCCAGATCTTTTTCGGAAAGGGGGTGGAGGCAGATAGGTGAGGGAAGTAGGGAGTGTGATGTTAAATGAGGGTGAGATCTAGACAGAGTTGAGGTCCTTTTTGTATCTGTAAGAGTGGAGTGTTGTTACTATATTGTGTAGATTTTAGGCTAATTTTGTTTGTGCTAGCTAGCATTCATTAGTGTTCCACTGTTGTATTACTGGCTGTGCAGCCCCAAGGACACTGGGTGGCAGGTCAGGACCATTTATCTCTTGAGAAGCCTGTGGATTAGGATTTAAGACCTTTGGTCCCTGATACCCACCTTGTGTCTCTAATATGCTGCCTATAGTGAGTCAAGTTCACTTGTGTATAAATAAGCATTTAAACTGCCCCCTGGGGGTAGCAGTTGTAGAAATGCTAATGCAGAAATGGTTCCGCTGGCATTTTAGCCTCTCTAGTCTAGACCTGGTTGGAGCAGGGTTAGACAGTGACTGTCCTGCAATAGAGCTGCCACCGCTGAAGCTGCATGGGTGGAAGTTGAACTGGGGGAATTCTTAGCAAAAAATGTTGGTCTAGACAGCGTGAGTGAGCATATTTTGGAAGTGTGTGTATGTGGAGTTAGACTGGCAGACAGATATACAGCAGAGCCTGGTCATAGTGAAAGCTGGTATTAAAACACTGTTCTAGAAGTGGAACAAAGGTACCTATTTGCTTCAGTGTATTGTAGTATGTAAACTTCTGTTCTAATACGCCTGTACCTGCTTACAGTCAAGTTCTCCTGTGGAAGACATGACTTCAGTATAAGGGGATTCCCTTTACTGTGTCACTGCTGCTGGGACATATTGAAAAAGGAACTGAGGCTGAGAACCACATGTCTATTAAATGACTAGTAGAATGCATCTGGCACAGCATTGGTTACATCAGTTACAAAGCTATAACTGATAAGATATGTGACACGTAATCACTTTAATATGCACACCTGGTAAAGGAAGGATCTATTTTTAAAATCTAGATTTTCTACTCCTTATTTTAAATTTCTGTTTGGAAATCTCAGTGATGATTGAAACATTTTGTAAAAGAGATACTATACAAAACTGATATCCAAATGTGTTAGAGTTATACCATTATGGACACAATTTCTCTCCTTTTGCTATTATTTAAGAGCCATAGGGCAAGGAAGAAGTGATTTTGGGGACATGTTCCTTTGAGCATCTTTTGAAAGATACTAGAAAAATAACCCCAGAGCAAATAGAAATGTTAATGCCAGCCATAGAAAACCACCTCTATTTTGTAGCTGCAAAAACCCTCAGCTAAAACGTGACTTGTAAAAGTGAAAGAAATGGGGATAATCTTAGCATGTCTTGTTTTCCATCCCCAAAAATAGAGGCTGCATGATGTAGTGTTTAAAGCACAGGACTGTAAGTCAGAGAGACCACTAGTCTGTTCCTCCTTGCTCTGCCACTGACTAGCTATGTGACCTCTGTCAAGTCAAGTCAGTGGGTCAACATCAATTTAAAAAATCACTCTTCACTTAGATGAGTGTGTGTGGGGAAACTATCTACTGTTGTTGCAAGTATGGCAGTTATGTGGTCTAGTGCAGTGTTTCTCAACTTTTTGATACCAGGGACTGGCTTGCTGCCTTCCTGAACCGTGTCCAGGAGATCTCAGGGGCTGGCGTTGGTCCACAGACCGGTTGTTGAGAAATACTGTCTAGTGAACAGGGCACTGAGTAGGGAGTCAGGACACCTGGGTTCTACTCCCAGCTTGGCCACTTACCTGCCGTATGCTGACAGTGGGCAAGTCACTTCTCCTCTGTGTCTCTTTCCTCCCAACCTTGTCTCTTTGTCTATTTAGACTGAAAATAATTCAGAGCAGGGACTGTCTGTTTTTTTTTTTTTGTCTGTACAGCACCTGGCACAATGGGGTTCTGATCTCAGTTGGGGCTTTTAGAAGCTACTATAAATACAAATAATAACTTCAAAACCATGATCTTGCAACTACTTCCTGCGAGTGACCCCCTTGCCTATGCAAAAATTCCACTGACTTCCTATATATGTACTTTGTATATATGAAGTTGGGTGTCAACGGTTATTTTACAGATTGTTTGTTAATCAGGGTGTTCTAGGGACGATAGGGACAAGCAAAAATAAAACCTAGATGAGAAACTCATCACCAATTCCTATTAAGCTACAGTAATAAATATGATCAATTTCTTCAGCATATAGAAGCCTTTGATTTAGGACAGAGGAAAAAAGCAGCTCTTTGCTGATACTACTTGCATAAATTAAGTTCCTACAGGTCCCTGCTTGTCTTGTAGAAGGAGGTGTTACCAGAATAAAGTGGTGGCTGGGTTATACAATCAAAGATTATGGTACCATGTATTTTTTTTCCCTTTGATTGTCTGAATCCAAATCAGTTTACTAGGATTTCTGTTGTTCATCAAGTAGTGTAGAGACTCAAAGGACTTATAGAAAGTAATCACTCACAGCCCTGCCCTTTCAAAGGGAAAAAAAGCCCATTAGGATAGGATTACTGCAAACATGTTTGTCTACAGTAGGTTTTTAGATGTATCATTGGTGACAAATACTGTGTCGTTGGTGGTTGATTTAGGAAGATTTGCAGAGCCATTTGCCAGTGCTTCAGGGTTTTGGTTTTATTTATTTATATTTTTTTGAATAATCAACTTGAAAATAAATCTAGATTTCCCTCTTCCTCCCCCCCAAAAAACGGTTTTGCAATAAAAGAACGTTGCATCATTTTTTGCATATCTTAATTATTAATTATCAGAGGCGTAGCCGTGTTAGTCTATATCCACAAAAACGACAAGGAGTCCGGTGGCACCTTAAAGACTAACAGATTTATTTATGCCCAAATAAATCTGTTAGTCTTTAAAGTGCCACCGGACTCCTCGTTGTTTTAATTATTAATTGTTATCTATCTCAGATTAGCTTTGTTTGTTTTTTATTGGCAGTCCTTCACGTGTCTTGATAAACTCAAAATTCCTACTGTGTGGCAGATATATCATGACTTTAAAAAAGACTTCTGCAAACAAAGCCTGACCCCTTAAAGTATTTTTTTTTTAATGGCAGATCTGAATTTACCTTACAGTACTTTAAAAAAAATTAAATCAAATAAGTCTTAAATGCAGCGTCACTGCCTGTGTTACGGTAGGTAATATATTACAAAACTCTTGTGCAATAAAACCTGTCTTTTCACGGTTCCTGAAGGAATATCATAAATCTTTGTCAAAGCAAAGAATAAAAAGCACGCAACTCTATGAGAGTAGGACAGCAAAAATTAACTAATTTAAAGTCACATAGGTTATACAAAATGAAAGATCACTTTATATTGTTGCATAACTTTATATCAGTGCTGTATCACTTGAAGCCCTTGAGGATACATTGAGGCTGGGTAGAATAGAAAAGCTTACCCTCTCCCCTCCAAATGCCTGTAACCTGGTACCATTTTCTGCAGTCATCTCACAGAGATGTGTGTACCAGAGCAGCTAAAGCAGGGTTGTTAGTTTGTAATAGTACCTTGCAGCAAGAGTCCCATCTGCACTACTAAAATCTATTATTAGAGCCCTACTTTGTATCCGCATCTGATCCTCAATTTGCAAAAATGATCCCCTGATATCTGCAGAATTGCAGGGCTTTAGATATAAAATTTGAATCCGCATCCATCCGTGATCCGCAAAAATGGTCTGCTGCAGGGCACTATCTATTATGTTGGTAGGATGGAGTGACAACTGTTTGGTTTTGTGGACTGCACAGTTTTTAAATGGTGTTCCTGAGTCGTATTCATCAAAATTATTATGAATCATAGAATATCAGAGTTGGAAGGGACCTCAGGAGGTCATCTAGTCCAGCCCCCTGCAGGACCAATAATCCCCAGACAGATTTTTGCCCCAGATCCCTAAATGGCCCCCTCAAGGATTGAACTCACAACCCTGGGTTTAGGAGGCCAATGCTCAAACCACTGAGCTATGAGATGGCAAGCCATTAAATTTTGAGAGTTTAGTCGTATTTGGACTTGCAGATAGATGCCTTTCAGCCATGGTACTCAGAAGCTAGATATAAACACTTAAGCACTGCGACCCTCCTTCTTTCAGTGACCTCACATTGTCTACATCAGGGTTTAGGTCAGCTTAAATACACTTGCTCAGGGTTGTGGATTTTTGAGTTGGGTCAAGTTACCCTTTGGCCTGGTCTATGCCAAAAAGTTATGTGTCTCCACTGCAGAGTTAGGCCGTGTCTATATGTGCAGTCTTGTGAAGATGCTCTATGCCCGTTGACGTAAAAAACCCACCTCTGCAAGCAGCATAAGCTGTGTCAGCGGGAGAAGCGTTGAGTATGGACTGAGACTCAGGAGACCAGCTGTGTCAGTGACCTTGGACAATTGCTCCTTGCTTGTGTCTCCTTGTGTAAAGGCTAATAATCCTAACTATGACTAAACAGATGGGCTGTTAGAGTCTAACTTCATAGCACCATACATGTCTGAAGGCACCAAAAAGGGAACTGTTGCTTTGGTCAAACTCTTCCCATCCCAGGTTGCTTTAGCATCTGCATATAGAATTTGTTTAGAACCTTGTGTGTCCTTTGGTGTGAAGGGGATGAGGGCTCCAATTATATTTGGGGCTCTTTGTTATGTTGATCCCATCAATTTGAAGGGTGGGAGTTTAATCACTAGCATTTAGTTCTTCCACCCACTGTACCTCCCCTTGCTGACTCATGAAGCTGCTATTGTCTGTAAGGCTTTCCAGTGGGGTAAAACTGTGACTTAGCTGTTACTGTCCACTCTGACTCATTAAGAACTTGCCTCAACATGTCACAGAAGACTTTGTGTCTTTGAACAGGCAGGTCACAACAGAAAGAACTGTCTGGGATTTGCAGATGAGCGTGGGAATACTTTATCCTAGTATTCATCTCCCAGTGAGCAAGATTTTTCTAGAGCATAGTGAAAGTGGGTGGAGGTGGGTGGGAGTGTCACCAGTGCAAATCAGCCTGAGATGGTTAGTGAACAGAAATTGTAAATTTCATAAAAGCAAATTGAAGACATGCTTCTTGGGTGCTGAAGGATTTCTGCCCCAGCTGCTCTTACAAGGCTTCCTGACCAGGTAGCTGAGCAGCTAGGTTTAACTTACCTAGGAGAGAATTGGTTTTGGATTGCTCAGGTTATTGGCAAACTATAAAACAATTGCATGGGCTGATACAGTAATTTTAGATTTTAGGATGTACGTGCATGGAAGATTGATTTCCTAAAGCTTCTAAGAAACGGAAGTGGTTAAACTCAGGACCTGCTGGTTCTGACTTGCTACTAAACAAAACCTTGTTGTTGTTTCAGTTTATGCTGTAGACAGCTACTTCACTGCCAAAATGACATCTTCGACCTCTGAACAGTATCCAGCATCGGAGAATGCCTGCAGAATCGCACTTGGACAAGCTAACCAGGTAATCTCCCCTTCCCACTCTACCCCCCCAGACACACACTCTCTTGGCTTTCCTCTCTCCTTATTAAAAATAAGGCCAGTGAAGCCCTCCTAGAGCAGCTTTGACTTCATGGCACGTGGCCTTTTGTACAGGGTGGAATGAATAGTCCTCCATCAAGTGAGTGGTTTGTGAACATTAACTACCAGTGCCACTGGTATGGATGATAGATAGGTAATATTGGACTGACATTTAAAATAGTGGAGAAAAAAGTGAGGTGGGTTAAACTGGCCACACAGGACAGTGCATAATGTGTGTATTTCCAGGCTTCATACCTTATTTAGGCTATGCCTACATTAGCAAGCTTACAGCGGCACAACTGTACCGATGCAGCTACGCTGCTATAAGATCTCTTGTGTGGCCGCTCAATGTCCACGGGAGAGAGCTCTTCCAGCAACATAATTAATCCACCCTCAACGAGTGGCAGTAGCCATGTCGGCAGGAGAAGCTCTCCTGCTGACATAGCACTGTGTGCACTAGCGTTTATGCCAGCATAATGTCCCTAGCCTCTGTTTGCCAGAAGCTGGGAATGGGCGACAGGGGATGGATCACTTGATGATTCCCTGTTCTGTTCATTCCCTCTGGGGCACCTAGCACTGGCCACTGTCGGAAGACCGGATACTGGGCTAGATGGACCTTTGGTCTGACCCAGTAGGGCCGTTCTTATGTTCTTATAATTTACGTTGCTCAGGGGAGTGGGCTATTCATACCCCTGAGTGACATAAATTTTGCTGACATAAGTGGTAGTGTAGAGATAGCCTTACATGGGACCACACAGAGTTCCTTTTTAAAAAACTCTGGACTACATGGAACTGTTAAATTATGCAGTTCCTCAGAATATGAAAAGACACTCATCTGTGTGACCTAGTTTATAAAGCCAATAACATCTCTCTCTCTTGGAGCTACCTTGAACACTGAACACGTGCTGTTTCCCATACCAATCTATTCCCAGGGGATTGGTGGAATGAGTGCCAATATGTCATAGCCTGACTGCTTTAGGAAAGCTATCCAAAGCCAGCGTGGCAATTCTTTAGCGTAGAGTGTGGGAATCTGGAAAACTGGCACTGCGTCAACATGTTGGCTGCCAGTCAAAGAGAAAAATCTGCAGTGTGAGCTATGGCTAGAAAAATGCAGTCTACAAACTCCGATGAGTGGGTTCTCCAAGACAAGAATGGGGCTGTATCTTTGAAGACGGTTTCATTGGTAAGAGCATGTGTCTGGCTGGGGGCGGGGAGTGTAAATTAGCCTCTGAAGGGGCTCAAACTCCCCTATATACTTAATTTATAAAATCCATCTGAGTCCCATGCAGAATTGATTAACATGCTTCTTTATTCAGTGCATTCTACTGAAAATTTATAAATAAATAAGCAGACTTTGATGTTAGTACAGAAATATTGGCTGCTTACACCCATTATCTTGGGGAATATGGAATGAACTAACATTGTCGTCTCCAATTTGGCTTCATTGTGGTAGCTAAAGTGCTATTTTAAATATTCAAATTAATTTAGGCAATTTTTTTTAAACACAGAAAAGGGAGGGTGAGGAGGTAGTTATTTAAAATGAAGAAAAATCAACGACAGTGGTCCTTAGCTTGGAGAAGTAAAACTGTCTTGTACTTGCATTAATTGCGCTCATAAGAACATTGTATTAGTACTGGCACAAGCTTTTACTTTCATTGAGCTAAATTCGTTATGTCCTAACAAAATGGCTGGTGTTGAAAAGAATTGTGACATGAGTTTGGACATTCCTTGCTCTGTTTGATTTGATCTTAAAAGGTGGAAGGTTTTTTTTAAGAATGAATCTAGCAGTGATAATGATGTGGGAGTAGATAGCTCAGAGTAGTTTAAGGCGAAGATAAACGCATTCTTAGAATTTGAAAAGAGTGGGATGAATTCCTGCCTGAGTATTGTCTGGCAGCTGAGTTCTTGACCAATTAGTTGGTGACAAATAGTAACAAAACTCCTCAGGCAGGAGCTTGGTGATTCCAACTCTACCTTGAGGCTAGGGTGTAGTGGGCTTGGGAATTCTGAGTTGCCCTCCTCCCCCTCCTTTCAGGAAGTGAGGGCTTTTTGCAAGTGCATTTATATAGGGAGAGATCATAGAATATCAGGATTGGAGGGACCTCAGGAGCTCATCTAATCCAACCCCCTGCTCAAAGCAGGACCAATCCCCAGACAGATTTTTACCCCAGTTCCCTAAATGGCCCCCTCAAGGATTGAACTCCCAACCCTGGGTTTAGCAGGCCAATGCTCAAACCACTGAGCTAGCTAGACACAGCTGAGCCCACCTTTGCTGGAGAAAAGATATAATGGGCCATTTACAGCAGGAAAGAGGTTCAGAGGCGTGTTTCAATAGAACAAGCCTTTGATAAGTATTTGGAGAACAATAGAGTATTGTGTACAAAAACCCTTCCCACCACATCTTGCTGCTTGTATTCTAACCAGTGTATGATCTCTTACCCATGTGGAATAGAGCATGTGTGTGCAATGAGAGCTCATACCTACCCCACTACTTCAAGATGCCACTAGCCTAATGAAAGGACTGGACTGGATCATTGATTCTCTTAATCAATAAATCCTGTTTTCTTTCAAAAATAACATTAGTCTGACAGAATCGTTGCTTCCAGCTGATTTATTTGAGCAGAAATAATTAGGCCAAGCTAGAAAGAGCTGTTCCCTGCCACTGGTTTTCAGAACTTTTGTTTTTCCAGCCTTATGAAGCCATTTCAGAAGTGACAGGTGAAATTGGCCACAGTCTTCTAAAAGACTTCACTCGTAGTTGATGTAGCGTTATTATAGCCCTAATTGGGTTTTGTTAACGCTGAAATGAGAAGGGGACAGGGAGAAAGCTCTGACAGAGCAAAAATTGTGAAAGCTGCAGTTTACATGCTGAGGGCCAGGTTCTGAGTGCAAATACGTCGCCACTGTCTCCCCGAACACACACATGACTTTTTCTTTTGAGATGCAGCAATATGTAGTGTTTATCCAACATCAGGATTTGGTCCTAAAGTTAATCAATGTATGTTCAGAAAAATGCCACTGCTTTTGCATATAACCCTCCCAAAACACGCCACATTTTAAATCCATCCCCTCTGGCCTGCTGGTATTAAGTACTGAAGGATGCAAGAGGCGAATGGGAGAAAGGTTTAATGTAGCAATATTGGTTGTATTTATAAAACACCATAACATTCAGCTACTAATTTGAGCAATCAGGTTGGGGCACCTTGACGGTTTTGTGGAGAACGATACTGGTTTATGCCGTGGCATATCTCCCTAGGATGTTACTCTTTCAGGATGTATGTGGATGGACTCGAGTAGGGCAGTTGGGGACTGATAACTATTTAAAACTTGCCACTGCTTTTTTTTGTAACATTCATACTACAACTTTAGCTGTCTCATCTGCTATTGAGATTTGCTCAGGTGTGTAGTGTGGAAGTAACCAAAGGAAAACTACCATGAAGTTGCTTCATGTTCACACTTGTGTGAGTGTGTGCCCACAACAAGGGAGCCCCACTACCCGACCTATTAATACAAAATTCATAACTCTGGTGAGAGATTGGGTGGAAGTTTGGGGTCCACGGAGAGTGCAGGATCAGTCCTTTAATGCTACTTAAAATAAACTTTTATACGCTGCACCCTTTTCTTGTAATTTTTTGTCTCTATTCACAAGTTTTTAATAGCCAAACATCACCTATGGGCTGTGCAGAAGGGACCTATTCTATTCTTCCCATCCAGTGAGCCAGATTTAAACCTGGTCTAATTGAAGTTAATGGTGTCGCCATTGCATTATCCCTCACATGTCTAGCTAGTCAGCCTCTAGGATTCCCCTCACCTAGGGACTAATTCTCCAGTCCTCGCTCACATGACCAATCCCATGCAAGTTAATAGCACAGTGCAGATGACTAAGGTCTGCCTGATTGGGCCTCCTACTTTTCTGGCTGCGCTCATCTTGTATTAGGATCAATATGGTAGAGAAGTTGCATTGACTGACTTTTAATTCTGACTAGTGAAGCATACCGTTACAGATCCTGATCCTGCAATAAGCTCTGCTTGGGTAGGCCCATATTTATTTCAGCAGGGCTCTGAACAGACACAAGGGTCCATCTGCACGAAGCTCATTGCCCCAGACAGGATTGTCTTCTCTTCAAGCATACCTCAGATGCAGGTCATTAACTCTAGAAGAACATGAATGAGCCCTTGGGAGGGTACCTCAAAGACTAGTGATGTCCCCCTTGGCCAACAACTCACTGTAGAACCATTTGTCTGGACTTGCTATAATGATTGTATGACAGTCTTGCCATGAGGTGTGCCCCCAGCATTTATTAGTTACATAATTGATGCCCATGGACACAGTTCTTCTCAGTAGTTCACCACGTTATGTAGCCAATTCAAAACTATGTATTCTGCATTTTAGGTACAACCGAAACTGCCACTCCTGAAGATTCTGCAAGCAGCAGGTGCACAAGGTGAAACCTTCACATTGAAAGAGGTGAGCCCAGGACTCTACTTTGATGGTTAAACCAAGAAAGTAGCTGTAATAATGGTCAGTTAACGAACGATTAATGTGCCACCTTGTGAATTTTACATCCAGGACCTTGAAAATGGAAAATTATTTTATTATGAATTACTAAAATGCACTGGATTAGGAATTGGGAGAGCTGGGTTTTCTTAGTAGTTCTGCCACAGATTTGTGTAGTGGTCAGGATCTCCTCACTGAGTCCTCGTTCCTGCAAGCTGATTGGTGGGAGTGTAGCCTCACTGAAGTCAGTGGGGCTCCACTGGGACCCGTTCAGGTAAATCATCTTGCAGGATTGGGACCATAGGGCCTGGAAATCAGTGGGTGCAGAATTGGGTCCTTGAACTCCTGTGCCTTAGTGCCTCTATCTGTAAAATAGGGCTGCTATATACATGGGGATATGAAGACTTTTTTGAGCATAATGGCTCAGATCCTCAAAGGTATTTAGAATCCTAAGTCCTATTGAAATCAATGGGAGTTAGGTGCCTTAATATCTTTGTGGATCTGGGTCAGAGTGCTTTGAGATCCTCTGATGGAATCCCTATAAGAGTGCAAAATATGAATGAAAATTATTATATATATCTTGAGAATCCAGAAACAGCTTTAGGAGAGATGTAATGGATAGCTGCACTCTTGAGAGATCGTCAGAAACGCGTTGCAATTGTTTTACTATCATTCATTGCTTGAAAGTTCTTAAATTGTACTTCAGTTGATATTTTCTCTTAAGTTTCTTTTGAAACGTCTTGTCAGCTAAACCTAAGACACGCTGTGAATTCATTTAAGATTAAAATGCAAAATGTGTACAAGATTAAAAAAATGACACTGTCTGTGATTTACAGGGGTATCCTGTCAGCAAAGAATTAAATGTGGCGGTTTTTCATTATGAATGTGTCAGATATTCCCGCAGCGCTGTGTGACTTATTTTAAACTCTTATGCATTTAAACAACATATTTAGAGTCTAAATTTTTTTGCAAAAACAAGTTGAATGCTTTGAATGGGGCGGGGGTGTTTAATTTTAAATGCAGGCTGCTACAGTAGACCATAGTCATTCCTCTTGAGTGAATAGAAGTACTGTTAGCAACTTCTTTGGTTGCATTTATCTTTGTTCAGGTGAGCCCTCTTTTGCTTCTAATCAGGTGTCTAGTTTACCTAAATATCCTCTTTGTAGCCAGTTCTGTGGCCGTAGTCCTCAAGGGACATTTTCTATAGCAAAGGAATCATTTTCTCCCCGCACTTCTGTGTGGTTCTAATGCAAAGCCTCTTGCATCTATGATCTTTGCTCTGTACCTGTGCCAAGCAAGTGGTCTCCTCCCACTTAACTTCGGCCTTCCTTCATGTTGAGTCACCATATTTTCTTGCCCTCCCACTTTCGAGAGAGAAGACAGTTGAAGACACACTTTGGTGGTTACAGAGAAGTACCAATTGTGTAGCAGGGGTCTGCTGCATTGCCACTAGAGAACAATCTTCATTCTGAATAGCTGTTGTTACTATGTGGGATGTCAGCCGAGCCTTTGACCCAGCCAGCTGGGTTCTATTTGGCTGAGAAGGAGCCTGTGCATAGATTATAAATAACTTCAACCTTGTCCTGTTCTCTGTTGTAATCTGAGACAGCAAAGAGGTTTCTGGTTTGTTTGCTGACATTTTAAGTGGCTGGGATTAATGAAGGAGCGTCAGTGGGTAAAATCTTTCCATTTAATTCAATACTGAAGTTGGAGTTCTTGTAATTTGGCCAAGACTACACTTCCCTTTTTTGATGGATCACATGGAAACTAGTGCTTTGATTAAATGCCAGAGCCAAATCAACTGCACTTGAAGTTACCGGAATATCGGTTCTTATATATGCAAAAAACAGCATCTTATTTTGGGAAACTCTGGCACCATCTCGCTAAACATTTTGATGGTGCAGAGGGTGTGACAGTTTACCCCATAAGGCTTTATGGGGGGGTGCTTATAAATGTATGTGTGATATAACTGGAATAGGGTTTTGCGACATATGCCATGTAACATATCTATGTAAAGGTTATGATCTACTGGTTATGTTCATCCTAGTTGTATGCAGGCACCATTTGTGTGTTCAAAGTTATGTATACTTGCTTGATTTCTAAGTAAGCTTTGTGAGGCATTTAGTCAGCTTCTTTAGGAAGGAATTCGCAAGGTTAAGTACCTGAGCAGGAAGCATTTGGGGAACAATGCTCCAATCCACATAAGAAGTCTTCCTGGAGACATACAAGATACCATATGGACAATAGATTCATAGATTCTAGGACTGGAAGCGACCTCGAGAGGTCATCGAGTCCAGTCCCCTGCCCTCATGGCAGGACCAAATACTGTCTAGACCATCCCTGATAGACATTTATCTAACCTACTCTTAAATATCTCCAGAGATGGAGATTCCACAACCTCCCTAGGCAATTTATTCTAGTGTTTAACCACCCTGACAGGAACTTTTTCCTAATGTCCAACCTAAACCTCCCTTGCTGCAGTTTAAGCCCATTGCTTCCTGTTCTATCCTTAGAGGCTAAGGTGAACAAGTTTTCTCCCTCCTCCTTATGACACCCTTTTAGATATCTGAAAACTGCTATCATGTCCCTTCTCAGTCTTCTCTTTTCCAGACTAAACAAACCCAATTCTTTCAGCCTTCCTTCATAGGTCATGTTCTCAAGACCTTTAATCATCCTTGTTGCTCTTCTCTGGACCCTTTCCAATTTCTCCACATCTTTCTTGAAATGCAGTGCCCAGAACTGGACACAATACTCCAGCTGAGGCCTAACCAGCGCAGAGTAGAGCGGAAGAATGACTTCTCGTGTCTTGCTCACAACACACCTGTTAAGGCATCCCAGAATCATGTTTGCTTTTTTTGCAACAGCATCACACTGTTGACTCATATTTAGCTTGTGGTCCACTATAACCCCTAGATCCCTTTCTGCTGTACTCCTTCCTAGACAGTCTCTTCTCATTCTGTATGTGTGAAACTGATTTTTCCTTCCTAAGTGGAGCACTTTGCATTTGTCTTTGTTAAACTTCATCCTGTTTACCTCAGACCATTTCTCCAATTTGTCCAGATCATTTTGAATTATGACCCTGTCCTCCAAAGCAGTAGCAATCCCTCCCAGTTTGGTATCATCTGCAAACTTAATAAGCGTACTTTCTATGCCAATATCTAAGTCGTTAATGAAGATATTGAACAGAGCCGGTCCCAAAACAGACCCCTGCGGAACCCCACTCGTTATTCCTTTCCAGCAGAATTGGGAACCATTAACAACCACTCTCTGAGTATGGTTATCCAGACAGTTATGCACCCACCTTATAGTAGCCCCATCTAAATTGTATTTGGACAATGGCTTCTGCCTGTAAAGACAGAGTCATGCATGGACATGTGACTTGCCCAGGTGACTCCAGAACTCCATCTTGGAGCTGGATTTTGCATAGGAGTGAGGAGGGGGGTCTCCACCCACAAGAGAAAGTCTATTTAAACCCGTGGGAGACCCCTCCATTTGGTCTTCAGCTGGCTAAAGAGAGAGCCTCCCCACCCCCCAGAATACTTGGAAGAAACTGGAACAAAGGGGTGTGAGTGATTGCTGGACCCAGGCTAAAAGGAGATTAGCCTGTAAAAGGGAGCATTCTGGAACTGGTGAGGATCTTATCTGTATTCAGTGTTTGATTAGACATAGATCTGCGCATTTTATTTTATTTTGTTTGGTGACTTACTTTGTTCTGTCTGTTACTACTTGGAACCACTTAAATCCTACTTTCTGTATTTAATAAAATCACTTTTTACTTATTAATTAACTCAGAGTATGTATTAATACCTGGGGGAGCAAACAACTGTGCATATCTCTCTATCAGTGTTATAGAGGGCGAACAATTTATGAGTTTACTCTGCATAAGCTTTATACAGGGTAAAATGGATTCATTTGGGTTTAGATCCCATTGGGAGTTGGGCATCTGAGTGCTAAAGACAAGCACACTTCTGTGAGCTGCTTTCAGGTAAACCTGCAGCTTTGGGGCAAGTAATTCAGACCCTGGGTCTGTGTTGGAGCAGACGGGAGTGTCTGGCTCAGCAAGACAGGGTGCTGGAGTCCTGAGCTGACAGGGAAAACAGGAATAGAAGTAGTCTTGGCACATCAGTTGGCAGCTCCCAAGGGGGTTTCTGTGATCCAACCCATCACAGAGGGAAAATGGGGACTAGAATGTGATCTTTACTTGTATTTTGTAGATTGTATTTCTCGAAACATTCAAAAGGGGGGGACCTCTCCTCAGAAGAACTTGCCAAGAGACTATGCCAAACTTTAAAAAAAAAAAAACCTGCTTGGATCATGAATCTGGCTCAGATAATAACCAAAGTACACCCTGATATAGAGAACAAGGGTAGCCTACAGGTTTACTGGGATTTGGGAAATCTGGAGTCAAGTCCTGGCTTTACCACTGATTCACTGTCAGTGTCACATTGTCACAGCACCTCTCTGTGCCTCAGTTTCCCCATTTGTAGAAGTGTCAATATCCCCAATGCTTGAGATGTATGGATGGAAGGCTCTGTAGAAGGGTGACGTCTGTCCTAGAAGGAGGTGGTTTTTCACTGGCACCTTGTCATGTCAGCTAAAGGAAGTGTAAGGTGGAAGAAGGAAATGGATCACAAAGCCCGTGAGACCTTGCTGGTTTATACTATACCCAGATGTACAGACACCGTTTTCCCAACCTATGTATTATATAATTTTTTTTAACATTAGCTTTAATAAAATTTTCAACTGCAGATGTAACTAATACTATCTTACGTACCCACAGGTCATGCATTACCTGGGACAGTATATAATGGTGAGGCAGCTATATGATAAGCGGCAGCAGCACATGGTGTATTGTGGAGGGGATCAGCTGGGAGAATTGCTGGGACTGGAGAGCTTCTCTGTGAAAGATCCAAGGTAGGAAGAGATGCAGCTTTGCAGTGTGCTCACTAGGGCTGGTGGTCCACCGTGATTAGATATTGCTGAGGCAGGGGACCCAGCTACAACATTGTTCCTTTCTGTGATGTAGATGAGACCTCGATGGTCCACTAGCTTGTTGTTAGTGCTCTCGAGTGTCCTTTGGCGTGCCTGAATTTGATTGTATCTGCTTGTAAGGAACAATTCTGCACTGTCTGGGTGGTGGACTAGTTGGTGTAACAGGTCTTTCTGGCTCTAACTTCTGTAATTCCCAGTCCCTTGTTTCTCAGTTCAGCAGGGGCTTGGATTGCTATGGAGGCGGTATCTTCCGCTTCTCTGGATGTAGGGGAGAGGGCTCAAGTTTTGTAATCCCAATCTCTCGGGCTTTTATTAAAGGGAAACTTTACCTTGCCATGCTTGTTCATTTGCAGAGACATTTGTTTGTTTTATCAAAGGCTTTAGCTGCTCTTTGCCAGCCCAGCATTCTGACCTTTTGAAGGCCTGATGCTAAACTTGTGGCATGAATTAATTTCTGTGACGGGACCCCTGGGGTGTAGCCTGGGACTGTGGGACTGCTGTGCCCCCTTTAATTCTCCAGCCTGGGCTCTCTCTCTCACTGCCTTGCTAGTGACAAGCAGCAAACCCCTCCAGGCGCTGTCATCACTCAGCACAACTGCATGTGGAGCCCCACACCCAGCTAGATTGCATGAATGCTCCCAGAGCCTCTCATGAATTAAACAGAGAAAGGCACGAGCCAAATCCCCCCAGCTCCCAGCCTGGTACCTCAGGAATATATAGTCTTGCACGGCTCAAGACGAGCCGTACAAGTTTATTAATTGGTTCACCACTTCATCGATGGAAAGTTGATATACACTAGCCTTTGTAAATCTGAGCAGATTTACCAAATACTTACTGGTAAAGATAAACAGTAAAACAAGTTTATTGACTACAAAAGAGAGATTATAAGTGATAGGCAAAAAGTCAGAGTTAGTTACCAAAAGAAAAGAAAATATAAGCACACAGTCTAAACTCTCAACCCTATTAGACTGGGCAACATCTAGATTAAGCAGTTTTTCTCACCCCACTGGATATTGCAGTTCATAGTACACAGGTTTCACCCTGGAAACCTGGGCCAGTCTCCTCAGTGTCCTTGTTGCTAGTTGCAGCATAGGTACGGGGGAGGAGAAAAGACGAAGCATGGGGCCACTATGTTCTGTTTGACACCTTAGTCCATGTGCTTGGAGAACTCAAGTCCAGGCATGTCTGGGGTCATTGCTGAGTCACCAGGCAAGGTTGAGCAATTGCCCTGGTGTGGCCTTATGCAAATGAGTCATTGCATTGTAGCTCCCTTGCTGGACAATGGCTGTTGATAGTAGTTCAAAACCCGCCCGGGGATTGGTTACTTTTCCTTTCTGTTGTCTCTGGGGAGCTGCTGATTCCCCAATTTACAGCATGTTTTAGTGACAACATACAACACAATCTCATAACTTCATATGCACTAATGATGTACATATTTAGATAGAACAATGGCTTTCAGCAGATCATAACTTTTCCCCTGATATCTCACATGGCATGCTTTATATGTAGTATCACAATTTATATATAAAGGAGAAATATGGGGGTTACGGGGTGCTCCCCCGAGGTATAGAGTGTCACAATTTCCGTGCTAGCAAAATGACTGATGTAAGACAGCAGACTGCAACTGGGGTTGACAGATTACAACTGCTTAAGTGAGAGCTCTTGAATTCAAAAGACCAATATCTTGATATGAAAACAAATGACCAAGAAGAGGTTATATTTCAGATAACTCCTACAGTCTCCAAAAGGGGAGAAGTGGCTAGGGGAGGGGAAAAGTCAGTGCGTTTTTCACGGTGATTATATCAGATGATCTATATTATTTCAGATGAAGGCCTGCTGCACACCATGGGAAAATCTGGGCCGGTAATGTTTGCCCCACCTTGGGAGCTCTGCCAAAGAGGAACACCTTTAAATTACAGTTCATAAGAGTTCCGTTAGGAGAAGCTGTCTCAGTACTTCCCTTACAAGGCCTTCTCCTGGCCAGTATTGCCCATTTAGAGAGCTGCACTGGCTGCCAACAAGGAGGTTGTTGCTGCTTTCTGCTGCTGCATAGTGGCTGGAATGGAGAGGATATTAGGAGGCATGGGGCAACTGGGAGAACAAAGTCACCATGAGGAGAGGCTATCTTATTTTTTGCTGTGGTTGCACTCACTAGTCCTCTTTTCCTTGCAGCCCAGTTTATGACATGCTGAAAAGGAACCTGACTTCTGTTACTATTACAGGTAGGTTTGTCTAGTACAGCCAAGTGCATTCAGTACAATGTTAATTTAATTGGGGTAAGTAATGATATGTAGGAAAGAAAAATGTTCCTTGAGTGAAAAACTGCTTGTGGAGGCTTTGTGGGGGCACACTCTGAGAATACATTCAAGTCGTGTGTGTGTCTGCAAAACAGTTCACGTGGTTGGAAACCAATTAGCCCTTTGCCTGACATGCCAGTGTATGGCTGGAGCTACACCTCAAAAAGCAGAAGACAGTTTATATCCAGAGACACATCCTGGAAACTGACAGGGTTAAATGCTAGGTGTGAGTGAACTGGCTTGGCTAAAAATACCCCACTGAAACCTTTGCTCATCTCTCAACCTTTGCTAAGCTACAAAATGTTGAGTGATCTCCACCTGGCTCCCTACTATCGCTTGCATCTATACTTTGTGATCTTAGTTAGGACTACTCATAGAGGTGTTGGAAATCTGACATGATGACCTGTTCCCTTAAATAATCCATTCCAATGTCAGAGGTCTGAATACCTGACTTACCCGCTCAACATCACCGTTACTCTGCCAGCTCATGGGGAAAGCTGTCAAATCCATCCACATAAAGAAATTCAGTCACAAGTTGAAACAAATGTTGTTGTTGTTGTTGTTGTTGCTAACCTAGTCCCTTGTGGTTGTTTTCTCCCAATCTACCATTCAATTAGTACAGCTGTTAGCGTCTACTCAATAGAGAATTCATACTGAAATAGCAAGCATGTGAATCGTGAGCAAGGTGCATGAGGTCACATGCCATACTTCCTAGGGCTCTAAGCAGTTTCATACCAAGGACATAGTTTTCAGAAGGGCCTAGTCTATTTTTTTTTGCACTAACAAGTAGTGGTGCATGCAAATTTAGAAGCCATTTCAGAAACTGTGGCCAAATACCGTGTAGTTTTCCACTTTTCAGCCATGGTTAGTGTGCATCAGTGCTTCCAGAGATCACCCATTCCCATCTGTAATGAAGAACCTGCCTGAGCACTCTCTTGTCTAACCACCTACCTGTATCTGCAGAATAACTGTGTGAGTGCTAATTTCTATGGTGGTGATTCCCTGGCTTACCCATGAGCAGCATAAGTGGAAAGCAAAGAACCGTAGGGAAACATTTTCTCCTGCTAGCAACCTCCCCTCTGCTGGAGGTGTGTGTGTGCGCATTTGTGTGGGTGAGCTTGCATTTGTTCATTCCGGTCATGGTGTAACTATTTTTAAACTTGCTAAAGGAAATAATGTTCCTTTAGAGTCACCGAGTTATACCGATGTGTGTGTGTGTGTGTGTGTGTGTGTGTATGTGTGTGAGAGAGAGGGAACAAAACGAAACAAGCTTGGCAGACTGATCCCTGATTTTGTACACTGAATTGTGAATTCACAAGTGTCTAGGAAGGGAGCTTGTGGAATTATTTAATTTTTTCTTAGCACAGGGCAACTGGAAATAGGATTCCATAGCCTGTCATACTTCACAGCCTGTCATACTTCATGTTCCATGAGAGCAATAAATATTCACTGGCCAGATTTCTGCTTCTCAGTGCCTCTTTCTGCAAATTATCATGGCCACTTCTGTAAAGTGCACTTATAGAAGGAAAAGTGACTGTGTGATAAGAACATATCTCCTTAATACCTAGCTCTCATGTAGTGCTTTTCATCAGTAGATCTCTGTATTCAGCCTAACTGTTCCCTGTATGCCTGAGTCATACAGCTTCTACTTTAGGCTATCTACTTTCTTGAAATTTTATGTTCAGTGTTTTTATTTATGTTGGCAGAGACATTTTCCAGTATGAAAAGTGTTTTTCCAACCATTGTAAGAATAGCGTATTCTATATATAATATGTTCAGACAGAGCTAGACTTCATCATAAAACCATTCTTCCTCTTCTGACACTGCGGAGCCAAAGCAATTATGGATGAGTGAGTTGAAGTCTCTTTTGCTTCAGGCAACATCAGCTAATCTCTGATTGCAGAATCTTTACTGCTGCTGATGATGGAAGAGGCAGAAGAAAATGGCTGGATTTTCAGATTTGCTTTATTGGGCATTAGAAAAATCAACCATGGGCTTGTAAATAGAGTATATGTCATATGGACATGGAGTGGGAGAGAATAGGGGATCCAGCAGTGTTGTTTTACAGTCACTTTTCTATCTATAACTGCACTTCACTGTGTCTTCATGTTTGTGTTGTGAAGTACAACAGGCATAGAAACCCAGTCCTGCTCTCCTAGAAGTCAGCGTTGCCATGGAATTAAAAGGGAGCGGGAGCAGTCCCTGTATTTGCTTCTCCTCTGAGCCATTCCGCTCATTTAGCCTTTTCTAAAATACAGGTCTTCAGTTGAGTTAGTCACTTTTGTTTACCTGATTGCTTTGGCTTTTAGCTTAGACTGTAAGGTTTTTGGAGGGCAGGGGAGTTACGATGAACCTTTGGGGCTGTGTATTTGTCTGCATTAAGTTGTATTGAGGACATGTACACTGATTGTGAATGCCTAGGGAGGAGCCTGCCAGGATGTGGACCTTCCCCTATTTGGTCTGGTTTCTTCTTTCTCCTCTTCAAAATGACATCTCCCCACAGGTAGTCTCTGTGGCCAGTGAAAGAGTGTGTATCCACCAGGCCTTTCCCTGCTGGCCTTGTTTTTCAGCATGGAGCTACTCTAGACTCCATGCTGGAGTCGCCACCTCTGCTGCTGCATTGAGCTTCCCTGCCCACAACCTAGCAGCTTGCAGAGGGAGAGCAGGCCATGTCAGGATTCTTACCTGCAATGAGGTACGGTCTCCCAGTGGCCACAGACACTTCCTACTCCCTAGTCCAGTGCCCTCTACATCCATAATAAAAACAAAGAAATAAACAGTCCCCCTGTAATAGCCATCTGGGAATTGGCCAGCTGCCTAAGCAACTAGAATCCTTTCTTCTGTAAAGTTCCACACGCCTGTCTGCCAAGCCTGGCTCGTTGGTTGCTTGCTGAGGGCCCTCTGTGTTGTGAGAATGGTTATTACCAGGGAAGGTTTTTTTCTTTTGTTTTACTTGCCATATAGATGCTGCACAGACTCTTGCTCTCGCAAAGGATCAGAGCGTCGATAATCCAAGCCAAGACCAGCTGAAGGTAAACCCACTGCCTGGTGGTTTCTTTTGTTGTACAGAGCGGCCCCTTCTCTGTACCTGTGCATGGTGGACTGCCAGAACTTTTTACTGCTTGACTGGTAGGTCTTCGCCTTCCTTAAAAGTTCTTGGGAGTCCACAGACCAGGGACAGAGTGACCCTTCTCTGTTCTCTTCATAACAGAGTTCCATTCTCTGGGCGCGTTTCTCTGGGATGTAACACTTCCTGTCCTCAGTCCCTCCAGCTTGCACTGTGTTTGGATTTTGCGTGTGTGTGTGTGTGTGTTGTTTTGTTTCTCCCATTCTTCAAACAACAGATTGAACTTCCTAAAAGTGTAAACTGGTTTTGCTCAGTGGGATCATTTTTGAAAGCTTCTAGGCAGAATCTGGAAACCTGGGAAAAATCTTTGTCTAGTCCTAACTTGTTTTGGGCATATACATGGGGATTAATACAGTCTGGAGTGTGGGGGCGGTGGGGGATGTATATCGCAATATTACTGCATTAAAGATGGCAACTTTTGGTCTCTTGCCAATCTTGAGATTTTTCCTGGGTTGAAAGTACTCTACGTGTGCTGATAATAGATCCATAGCAGCCTTCTGGAAAGGTTAATTCCTTGTGTTGTGCTCAAAAAACCTTTATTCTTCTATGGAACTCCTTGGTGTTGTACTGCAGCTGGTGACTCAGAGTGGAAGTGCTACATCCCCTTGTCCCTATAAGCTCTGATGGGCTAATGGGTGTCTTTTCTGCCTTCCTTCAAGCAGACTAGCACAGAGGGAAGCTCTGACACTGAGGGAATGGAGGACAAAAGTGATGCTCCTGCTTTGTCTACCTCACAGCTCAGCTATGGAAACTGCGAAGGTGAGTGCAAGTTGTTTCCACATCGAGGTGCAAGGACAAGCCCACCTACACGTTTGTGAATACTGCACGTGGTGCTCTGCATGGCAGGAGCCGATCAGAGTAGGATGCTGGGAGACTAATAAAAATCCTATTGTGGAAAGTAATCTTCCAAAGTCATGATTTTATGTGCAGAGATTTAGAGAACCATAAATATCTGCCGTAGGTATTGTATGTTGTACACGCTTTTTAGCCCGGATACTTGGCTCATAAATAAACAAACACTTGGAGGAAATGGCAGGTTAATGCCAAACAGCACATCAATCACTAAGCAACGCCATCAAAAATCTTAGGTTATTTTAAATGCTGAAATTATACTTGTATCAATTTATCTTCCATGGGGACTTTGTCTTCTAATTAATTGGAATCAGACCGAGCTGTCTGCAGTCAATACCCACAACCCTATCAGAGAACTGAATAACAATAGTGTTAAGTTTTGCTGTATTTTTCATCCATCCTCATAACTAGAAAATTCCTCTCTTGAAATTTGTTTTAATGTCTCTTGAGGCTTTCTTGCTAGTTCATTGGGATGCATATTATGTGATATGGAGAGTTTGTTTCCTTTTCCCTCATTACTCCCAACTCCACCCTGACATCAAAGGGTCTGATGTTTTAAAATTGGCTTCTCTATTCGCAGGCTCCATTATTGGTTGGCCCAAATGAGGATGGGTAGATATTTACCTGATTGCAGGTAGAGGTGGTCCTTGTCTGTGCCTGCAAAACTGCAGGCCTGAATAAAGAGCTGGAGTGAAAGTTCTTTGGAAATGAGGCCTCCATGAGATTGGGGAAAAAAGGTTGAATTCCGTGGGCCAAAGTGAGGCAAGGACTGAGAAGACTGGCAGATTCCCTTTTCTCTGCTTCTCATTTTGAAGAGTTTCTGGCTGGGAGCCTTCTCATGGAATCAAGGAGCACTCATTGCTGGAAACTGGGGCCAAATCCAAACCTGGTGTGACCAGATCTAACTCATCAGTTGAAGTGTCACTGTGCCCAGTTTATCCAAAGCTGAATTTGGCCCCAGTGTATTGTACGAGTTTTATTTGTGCACCAGGTTTCACAAGCATCTCCCTGTTGAGAGTGTCACTTAGAGCAGCGGTTCTCAAACTTGGGCCGCCGCTTGTTCAGGGAAAGCCCCTGGCGGGCCGGGCCGGTTTGTTAACCTTCCACGTCCGCAGGTTCGGCTGATCGCGGCTCCCACTGGCCGCGGTTCGCTGCTCCAGGCCAATGGGGGCTGTAGGAAGGGCAGCCAGTATGTCCCTTGGCCCGCGCCACTTCCTGCAGCCCCCATTGGCCTGGAGCGGCGAACCGCGGCCAGTGGGAGCCGCGATCGGCCGAACCTGTGGACGTGGAAGGTAAACAAACCGGCCCGGCCCGCCAGGAGCTTTCCCTGAACAAGCGGCAGCCCTAGTTTGAGAACCACTGACTTAGAGTCTGCAGTGTAGTGGTGGTGGCCAAGGGATGGTCAAGGGAATCAACGGGGCTGTACTCTGTGTACGTGTGCACACATGCGCAACCTGTAAATAATGCACATGACTGCTCTGCTAAGCAACATGAGCATCCAAAAGTACAGGAGGTGCAACATGCCAGTGTGATGCTGTAATAAATACAGCCAAGGGCTTGTTAACCTAGCTCAGGCAGAAAGGTATGGAGTTAAAGATTCTGTAATACACAGTGTATTGGACTGGGATGGGTTTGCTGGTGCCACAAGCCGCATGTGCCTGTCATGACCTAGATTCTACTTGGCTTCTGCAGGCAAAGACTTAATAGAAAACCTCTCAAAAAGCAAGAAGCCCAAACTGGATCTAGTATTTGAGGAGTGGGATGTAGCTGGCCTTCCATGGTGGTTTTTAGGAAATCTGAGAAACAACTACAAGTCCAGAAGTAATGGGTCAACAGACATACAGACCAACCAGGTAAATGGATACTTTAAACAGCTAAAGCTGCAGTGTATTCTCTCCCTCTCCACTCTTGTGTGGGTCAAGTAAATATTCCTGTAGTCATTTTTTCCCCCACAGTTCAGAGTCTGTCCAAGACTTTCAACTTCTCCCTTCTATCTACCCCGTTAAGTCTTTTCATCAATGTAAGGTTTGCTTTGGTGTGTCTGGACAAAATGTCCCTGCTCCCCAGTGTTTTCTTCTCCATGCCGAAGTGTTGACTGTGGCCTGGTCCACACTAACCCCCCACTTCGAACTAAGATACGCAACTTCAGCTACGTTAATAACGTAGCTGAAGTCGAAGTACCTTAGTTCGAACTTACCACGGGTCCAGACGCGGCAGGCAGGCTCCCCCGTCGACTCCGCGTACTCCTCTCGCGGAGCAGGAGTACCGGCGTCGACGGCGAGCACTTCCGGGATCGATCCCAGAAGATTGATTGCTTACCGCCGGACCCGGAGGTAAGTATAGCCGTACCCTGTATTTCAGTGGTGCCATGTGCATATAGCCTGTGGGGTCATTGGGATCCTTTGGGATAAAAGTCACTAATATATAAAGAAGATGTATGTAGCATGGTGGCTAGCCTGTGTGAACTATTAACAAGGGGACTGAATTGTAGAGCGGGTCAGAAAATGGACACTTGTGAAAATTTGTCTCCATTTTTCAGCGTGTTCTACTGCATTGCTTGTCATCCCAAGAGTCACTGAGTGAGTTTGAGTGGGGAGAAGTCTGGTGTAAAAGAAGAGGAGAGCATGCATTAGGGCTGCAGTTATGCCCCCTCGTTCTTGTTGAGAGCACTGGAGTTCTGCATACCCAGACCTGTTGAATCACTAATATCCTAATGCATGCATGTTTTCCCCCATCTCTGTTCTACTAGGACATAGACACTGCCATTGTTTCAGATACTACTGATGACTTGTGGTTCCTCAATGAATCTGCGTCGGATCAATTCAGTGTTGCCGTCAAAGTGGAGACAGTGGACTGTGAAGAAGTGGGGAAAGAGAGTGACAAAAAGGTATCTCCTAGTGATACACAGTACGGCTGTGTTAGCTGATCTAATTTATGTTGCAACCCTTTGCCATTCATTTCTCTTCTCCTGTTCTGCTTCTGTATTGGGAACAGGCAGTCCAATGACCAGCCAACTTTGTAAGTCTTCCTTAGTAAAGGAGTCCCCCTCAATAGTCTCTGATGGGATGTCCATTAGAACCACTTTTCTCAGAAGCTATAAGCTGTGGGGAGTCCTCTGTCTCTGCTCGTTTTGACCAATCAAAGTCATTTTTCAAGGCACACAGTCGGCTTAAAAATCACACTTCTGAATTTTTTCTCTACCACTACTACAGCCATTACTTTAAGATTCAGCACTGAAAAAGATTAGAGGAAAAATATTTTTCTTATACTTTTTTGCGAGCACTTTGTGCACAGTCAGTTTAACAGTTTAGGCCTGATCCTGCAAACTTAGTCGATGGTCAACAAGACCAGTCACATGAGTAAAGTTACCCACATGCATGTTTGAAAGATGTGAAGAAAAATCCATGAACACATTTTTAGAAAAGTCATTAGTGAGATTTGCATACAATTCTAATAACTTATTTAATCTTCCCAGGTGATGGAGGTTACGTGTACTGATGACCTCGAGGATTCTCAGTGCCTAAGTGACGACACAGATGTAGAAGCTGCCTCTGAGGTATTCATCCTTTAGCTCAACATCCCATGCTCTGAGTGTGTTGCGCCAGCTTGTCTGGCTAAAATGTACACTATTTGCTGTGCTAGGAGAATGTTTACTGTATCCCTTTCAAAAGCCATGATAAGTGCTCTGTAGCAAAAAAGTACATTCCCTTTGCTTGGTCACCTGTATGAAGTTTAGGGGGTGTCTTTCAGTCCAGTTTGTTTTGAAAAGGTGTCGATTTAAATATGGACACCAGGATTGGCACAAAATGGCCCCCTTGTTGGCAGCCTGAAGAGTAATCAAGCATTGAATGGGCCATGGAGACGGAACACCACTCACAGCAGAGTAGTCCCTTTAGGTGCAGGTTTAGGCAGTTTTGCTGGGCAGTGTGGGAGAGTTTGCACCTGCCTGTGCTGTAGCTGTTCCCTGGCTAGACGATTCAGGGCTTTATTCTGTGTTATGCTAAGGCCCCTTTACACTGCCAGAATTGTGTAAATGGGAATCAGGCCCTCAGTGTCCGGCGCTGTCAAGCCAGCACTAAATTAATTAGAATGGGAAAAACAAACAAACCTGGTTTTGTTATGAGAGGTGAAAAATGGATGTGTTTGCACACTTTTCTAGGGCCAACTCTGTATTGCAGTCTGAAAGGGAATCTGGGATATTATCCTTGATGAAGATTCAGAAGTATAAATTAAGCCCCCAGTAGCCAATGAAATAGCCAGATCAGAGTTAGTCATATCAAAAAACATGCTGCTGCAGTATTCTGTATTCCAATCAGAGTTCCGCTGTATCCTGAGAACTCCAAGCCAGTTTCTAAACTGCTGGTTGCTTCAAGGTGGTCCCCAGGATGGAGAGAGAATCCAGTTGTCACTCTAATCTGTTTTAGTTGCTCCTGTCACAGTAGCATCTGGGTGCTTCACCATCTTCAATGTATTTATCCGCAACACCCCTCGATGGTAGGGCAGTGCTGTTATCACCACATTACAGATGGGGACCTGAGGCAGAGAGAGATGAAGTGACTTGTGCAGGGTGACAAAAGGTGTTTGTGGTGGAGCAGGAATTGAACTTGGGTCACCCACAGCCTAGTTAGCACTTGAACTACAGATCCATCCTTCTTCCCCATTTCCCCCTTCAGTTGCTGAACCATGTGGAAAAGAATTGTCCCTTTTGACTCTTCTCCAAGAGACATCCTTCCCAGTGTATCTTAACTGACACCAGAGCTATGTTCTATCATCTGTGCTCTTTTTTCCCCAATCCTTGCAGGCTTTCTTTGGAGGGTTTTGCTGTATGTCAGAAAACATATATCACACTGTTCCTTGCAGCTGGCAGAGCCAAAAAAAATTTGAGCACACTTTTCTAGACTGTGCTGGCTTGACAAATTGGATTGTCCCTGGTATAGGATAGCTGAATTATAGCTCTAAACTTGAGCAGCCATTGCCCTTGGTATATAGGGTAATCAAGTATGCCACTATCAATTGTATAGATCCAATAGATGCTAAATAATTAATGATTCTGAGAAATACACTTCTAACCAATTCAAGGAGCTATCTACCCTTGAATTTAGAGTGGGGCACTTAAATTTCAATAAACTGCACAGAATGAGAACTTTACTTTCCTCCAAAGATATGAAGGTTGAGAGGTGAGAAAAGACAAAGTAAACTCCTAAGCAGAGGGCGTGAGTCTGTAGGTGTTATGGGCAAGGTGAAATGTTTCTGAGGCTCTCCAAGTTGCCGCTGTGTATCGTGCATCTGCTAGCCTTGACACGCTGCCATTCTTGATTACTCTTCTTTGCTGCTTCCTGCACATAAAGGAAAGCAGCCTTAGCAAGAATGCACTGACTTGTTCTTGTTTTTGTCTACTCCATTCATTCTTCAGGACTGCTGGCAATGCACCAAATGCAAGAGGTTTAACTCTCCAGTCAAACGGTACTGTTACCGCTGCTGGGCCTTACGGAAGGACTGGTACTCGGATTGCCCCAAACTAGCTCATTCTCTCTCTCTGTCCACCATTGATACTATTCAAGGCAAAAAGGATGACGAGGGAATCGATGTCCCAGACTGCAGAAGGACCGTGTCTGCTCCAGTTTGCCGACCCAAAGATCTGTACACAGGTGAATGCGAGTCCCATGTAGACCCTGGCAGCTCTATGGAGTCCCTGGGTTTGTCACAAGAATGCAAGGACCAGGAGCCACAGATGCATTTTGGTGAACACAAAAAGGAAGAAGAAGTAGAATGCCAAGAGAATATCAAAAATTTGTTGAATCCCTGCCTTCTATGCCAGAAGAGGCCGCGGGATGGGAATATTGTCCATGGAAGGTCTGCTCACCTAGTGGCTTGCTTCAAATGTGCGAAAATGCTGAAGAAAGGGAGATTGCCATGTCCAGTGTGCAAGAAACCGATCCAGATGGTGATCAGAATCTTCACGGGGTAGCTGTGCCGCTGCAAGGTGCTTCAGGGACTTAAATGGTAACTAGTCAGGGGACAGCTGCCACAAGGTTTACGTTAGTGTCTATGGTGCTGCAAGGGAGGCTAACCATATAACTCAGCTAAAGAACAGGTGTCCCAAACTCACAAAGGAAGTTGAGGAATCCCCTTAATGAAATGAAACAATGTTCGGTTTTTAGTATCAGTTTACGTTCCTGGGGCCTGACTGATCTGTCCGTAGCATCTGCCCCAGGTTTTAGAATTTCTGAATCCTTTACTTGCCAAGGTCTAGAGATGATGATTTCCCCTGGATGGTCTTGTTTTCATAACTGATCCTTGCAGAAGCCGGATGGTTAATAAATAAATATGTAACTCTGGTTGGTTGTATGCTGTGCAGTAAGCTAAACTCTGTGCAGTACCTGAAAATAGAAAGCACAGGGGTGGGAGGAGAGTGTGTCTGTGTGTACGCATATGTACGCTGGATTCTCCAAGGATCAGTTCTCAGAAGAGTAATGGTGAACAGGGGTTACAAGACTTCTAACTCTGCAGTATTTTGTAAGATCGGGTTGAGAGACTCCCCAAAATCCTTAATGAAAAACAAACCTCCCCAACTTTTAATCAATATGTAAACCACCCTGTATGATTTAGCAATCATGCAAGAGCAAGGTGAGGTCCCTTTTAATTAAGATACAGTGTTGGGGGCCAGTTCCTCAGCTGCTGCCAATCGGCATAGCTCAGTCAACTCAATGCTAATTGACACCAGCTGAGGATCTGGCCCTTCGGTTAGGTGTGCACTTACAGCAGTTGTGCGTGTATATACAAGCATTCTAATGCTCATAATTAGCCCCTCACACCTACAGCTGTTTTAACTGCATCCCTACCTTTTTTAAGCTGTCTTATCATTTGAGAAAAGTCTCTATTTAAAGTGCTGGCGAGATTCACTAATGACGAATGTGCAATTTTGAAAAATAAGGCATTTATCTTAGTGCGCCACCTGACAGCTGGTTTATCTAAGGAACTGTTGCGTGGTGTTAGTCACATTTGGACCCTCTTCAGTTTGATTTAGTTTCTTATAGGTTTTAACGCTTCTCAGAATCCTTCTGCGGTATTCTTATCTGCACAGTGCAATAGAGGGTCCATCGGCCGCTAGAATTTGTAGTTTTAAACTGTTGTTAAATTCTTTCTTAAAGAGCACATCCTAGGTATCTGCCCAGATCTTTCTCAACCCCCATCTGCAGGAAGGAGCTCCAGGGGTTGAAGGCTGCCTCAAGGAGAGCATCCTTTCTTGTCCCTTGTGGAGGTTGATCAGGGTTTCCCCATGTGGAGAAGGCTGTGGAGTGCCTGTCCTCAAACCTGGGGGATCTGTAGGGGATCAGGGTTCTTCACATTCCACTGGACCCACACTACCAGAGATTCCTGCCTACAGCCACAGCTACCCTGGGGACCCCCGAGGGTTTGAGTAACTTCCACTGGGCAGGTGGAGAATCACTGTGCAGCCCTGTTCTGCTCTCCTCTGGCCTGCCCTGTCTTGATCCTGTTCCCCACCATGGACCTCGGACCATGTGCAGAGGCATCTGCAGGGTCCAAGGGGAGGAGACAGTGCTATGAAAGCACACGATCTTACCAAATGCAGGGTCTCCTCCAGGCTAGACCAAGCCCCTATAGATCTATGCATATCAGTTGGCTGTAAAGCAGGTATATAGCCCTTCTCCTGCTGCACTTTCCCTTCTCTCCTGCAGAGCTATAGCCATAACTACAGCTCACTATGTAAAGTGAATTTACTTACCCCCATCCCTCCTCAAAACACACACTCCTTTTAGCACCTTTGCTTTATTTCCTTCTTATTTAAAATAAATAAAAACCTAGAAAAATAAAGATGGCCAACACCTGTTAGATCCCATTTAGCCCAGCACTCCCTGGCCACCACAGGGTTGCTCTCAACAATGTGTTATCCAAGGCTTTGTCCAGGCCTGTTTAAAATAGTTCTGGGGTGGACTCTTTGTCACTTCTCTGTTTTGAATACCAAGAAATGTGCATTCGGTGTAGCGGCTCAATACACTGGGAAGCCGTAGTTCTCTGTCAATAGAATACACATTGTGGGGTTGCGTCTTCTGCTGTGAAGACTGTGGTCTCCTCCAAAGAGGTAGATTATTTGATCTACCAGGTGTTTACCCTCTAACTATTAAGATCCACATAGCTGCCTTCTGTCTATCCAGTGCAAGTTGGATGGGGATTCCTATTACTTGGGCCACCTAGACTGCCCTGTCTCTAGCATGTGATTTGGGGAAGATTTAGCCTCCCCCTTCTGAACCATCACTGCCAGTCATTGCAACTTGTGCTGTACATCATAGCCTTATTGCCCAGAGTTCCTGAGGGTGTACAGTTCAACTGGGCCTGAAAAGCTGCAGGAGGCTTTACGTATTCACAAAGAACTGTAGTTTCTTCTCTAGCTACATTCCTTTTTGATCTAGTATTTTTATCGTAGTCTTTCTAACCCCCTTCATCTCCCTAGTAGACACACAAAGCAAGTACAGGCACCCCACAAGGTTCCTCAGAGCAGTGCTTAGCGCTCTGCTGCTGAAGCAGCTCTATCTCCAAAGTTTCAAATGGGAAAGGAGGAGAGAATATATAGCATGGACTGATCAGTACCCTCTTAGGGCTGGTCCACACTGGGGCGGGGGATCGATCTAGGAAACCCAACTTCAGCTACGAGAATAGCGTAGCTGAAGTCGACGTTTCCTAGATCGAACTAAGTTTACTTACTGCGGGTCCACGTGGCGCAAGGCAAGCTCCCCGGTCAACAGCGCTTCCTCCTCTCGGCGAGCAGGAGTTCCGCAGTCGACGGGGGAGCGCTTCTGGGATCGATTTATCGCGTCCAGATGAGACCCGATAAATCGATCCCAGAAAATCGATCTCTACCCGCCGAATCGGGCGGGTAGTGTGGACCTAGCCTTAGCTATGTTGTATGCAGAGGCGGCAGTGGCTCTCTTCTGGTTTAATCTTGAGCTTGGGAGGAGAACGGATCTCTTTTCCGTGGCTATAATCCAAGCTTTTCCTCTCTCCCTATTGATTTGTGGCTTTTAGTTAGAAAGCGCTACTACTGGGCATAGGCTGACCGCGCCAGTACTGGATGTGCTAGCTGACTAGCAGTACATCGGTAACTAAAAATGAGCAAGTCTAAGCTGAACTGGGAACCATTCCATGCCGCTAAATACTTGATACTCTTTCAGGTGGTTCTCAAAGCAACTTTTTCCTTCTCAAGTCAAAAACCAGTCTTTACCATATGTGCTCAAGCCAGCTGTGAGTCTACATCTGCCGGGGAAGTCACAAAACCCAGCAGCACCAAAACCACGTTGAGCGTATTCTTCCTCTGTAGGGACATTGGAGGAGATGGGATGTGTGGGATCAGAGCTATCACTGCCAAAAGCACACCAAACCTGTTGGTGATTCTGCAGCTATATTGACTTGACGTTGTTTTACTGTGTGATGATTACTGTGTCTGATTTTATTTGCCGTACATGTACAAATGGGATGAGTTTTGTTTTTAAACCACAAGTTAAGCTGCAGTGCACCAAATTGCAGTTTCACAATATTGTTTTGCAAACAGGCCAGATCACCGATGGGTGTAAATCAGCATAGCTCTATTGAAGTCAGTGGCGTTATGCTGACCTGCACCATTGGGGGTTCTGGCCCCATATCTGAAGCGCACTTGTTGCTTCCTTGCTGAAGGGTCACTGAAATGAAGCTGACGCACCTTAGCCTTCCTTTGGGCCATAGTAGATTTAGCAGGGTTTCCTTATAATAGTATAGAAGTGGGAACTGTTAGTTACCAGCTAGCTGCCTTCCCTTTCTTTGGATGTTTGTGCGCTCGGCAAGGTGGATGCTTGGACGTAGACCTGAAAGCACATCTTCTGGAAACTGTGAATTTTGTTTTCCCTGTTGCCTCGAAAAGTGCATTTTGTTAAGGGTTCTGTTTGAATAGTTTTCAGACCGAATGTGTTACAAAGTGTGTAGTCTACGTTGACCAAAAAACCTGAAAGTACAATTTATTGGGGATATAATATCCTTACTGAAACCCTATTAAGATGTGTAATATATACAAAGCTTGAGATACTTACCTTTATTCAGTGGCTAAGAGTTATAGGGAATCTAAGTGGAAATCCCCTTGTGTCAAAGGAAAGCCACAATGAACATTAGACAGTTCGGAGATTTATTTTTATTCTGTAGCAAATATAAGAGTAGTATTTCAGAAGCATCAGCTTCTTTTTTGTACTTTTGCTTAAGGGTATGATTTTTGTCCCATGAAATAGTTATACTGGTGCAATGCCTAGTGTCGATGCAGGTATACCAGTATAAAGGTACCTTAGACTGGTGTATCTTATTCCTCTTCCCATAGATGCTTACACCAGTGTAACTGTGTCTACACTAGGGGTATGTGTTCACTACCAACGTCAAAGCGTTGCCGCAGCAGTGCTTTAATGTGGCTGTGTAGTCGCGGCCCCAGCGCTGGGAGAGAGAAAAAACCACTCCCACGAGGGGAGTAGCTACCGCGGCTCCCAGCACTGGTGCACTGTCTACGTTACCGCTTTTCAGCGCTGAAACTTGTTTTTTTCACACCTCTGAGCGAGAAAGTTTCAGTGCTGTAAAGTGGCCGTGTAGACAAGGCCTCAGAGGGTTGTATAGCTATATATCAGTATAGTTAGAGTGGTACAGACAAGCCCTAATTCAATCAGAGCTGCCGTTTTATTGACCTTTCCCAACAGGAAGTCTGTTCTCATGCCTTAGTTGCAGAGACAGGACCCAAAGTATTTCAATAAAATACCTAGCTCTTGTATAGCTCTTTTGATCTATAGATCTCAATGCGCTTTAAAAGGAAGTCACCATTTTACAGATGGGAAGCTAATAAAAGCACCAGAAAGTTAGCCGCCTAAATCCAGAATTAGGCACCTTAAATCAGTGCCCTGATTTTTCGGAGCTGCTGAACACCTGGATCTCCTGTTGACTAGAGTGTCAGTTGTGAGATACTCAACATCTCTGAAACTCTGGCTCTTTAGAGCGGTGCCCCCTTTTGGAGCCCAGGGAGGAGAGCTGAACATATGAAAAGCAGTACAGTTGCCTGACGTCGTTA